TGATGGGCTATTGAAACAAGATAAAACAACTTGGAATTTACAATTTGAGAAGAAAATGCATTTCCTTTGATGGTAGTTGAAATTCAGCTTGTAAATGTTTAACATCATTGAATAAAATTTTGCATTACAATCCTGAAGCTTTAGCCTTAGATGTAGCTAGTTACAGAATTTCCAGTGTTCAGAAAATGGCCATCCATCCATGAGGAACAGATTATGGGACTGTTGTAACTTTGAACAGTTACTAAATGAACTGTTGTAAGTCGAGAACTATCTGTAGTACTCTAAAATGTCTGCTCATTTCAAATGAAACATTCTGTTTTCAAGAAAATAGTATTCTTTAATTTATTTAATAAACTGTGTGTGTGGGGGTGTATCCTGTTTTATTAAATAAATAATACTGATTTGTATATTATATTAAATATATTATATATACAGGTAATCCCCGAGTTACAACAGCTCACTTAGCGATCATTTAAAGTACTTACATCACAGTCTTGAAGTTACAAATATTGCAACCCCATGGCAGTCGTTCACCCTTACCATCGACTGCAGAAGCACTGCAACATTCATCCTGCCTATTTCCCCACTACCTCCAGCCAGGTCTCCACAGCCACTGGGTCTGTGAAGACTCACATTGTGAAGATCTAACAAGCCTTCAGTTTCTTTGCCTGCTTCATTGCTTCAGGCTTGCAGTGCATTCAAAGAGAACAGAAGCCTAAAGTACTACAGGATCATGCGAGATTAGTAGCGCAAGATCTTCCGCTACTGATCTTACGTGATCTCACTCTACTTTAGGACTCAATTCAGAGAGAATAGATGAGATCTGTGGCAAAAGGATTTGCAGGCAGAAGGAAGGCTTTGGTTCTTCAAGCCTCCCCTCCTTTGTCATTTCCTTTGCCAAAGCCTGCATGGGTGAAAGATTGCATTCCTGTAGGCTCCGGTCATCTTTGCAAAAAACCTTTGCTGGCAAGAACAGAGCCTGGGAGGGGCCAGCACATCCCTCCCATGCTCTGTTCTTGCTGGCAAAGGCTTTTTGCAAAGCCTTGCTGAAGTCTACAGGGAGATTGCATCCCTGTAGTCTCCGAATATCTTTGCAAAAAGCCCAAAATGGAGCCACACCAAAAACAGAGCTGATGCCGTATCCCTCTGGGTCTCTATTTTCAGCACAGCTCCATTTTCAGCAGCAAGGGCTTTTTGAAAAGATGAATGCTATCTCCCTCTAGGCTTCAGCAAGCCTTTGCTCAAGTGAAGCTGTGACAGAGAGGGTGGAGAACAGCTCATTGAGATCTTCAAGTGGACCCAGCAGGATTTGGGGGGCGAGGGGAAAACATAGGTATTTCAGTGGGTTGGGGGAGGACTTGGGGGGTTGGAATCACTAGACCCCCATGTTCTTCCCCACCCTTCCCTACCTTGAGATATCTTGTGCACTTAACAACCCACACATTCAGTTAGTAAATGCATGGGTCAAGGCAGGAATTTTTCACGTTCATTTAACATGATTCATTCCAACGAATTCCCAGGTTATGAATGTAATTGGCAGGCTCCATTACATTTGTAACTCAAGGATTACCTGTAATATATAATTACATATAATTTATAAATTATATTAATATATAATATATATTAAAAACAATGCTGTATAATGTAGATATGAATGTATGTATACATGGAGCAAGAGAGATAGACAAACTGACAGGCAGACAGACAGACAGACAGACAGACACACAGATAAAAACTCTATAGATATAGATATATGCTTTTTTCATCTTCATCATCATTTTCCTGCAGGTACCACTCTTTTTTTCAGCTCAACTGATTGTTGACCAACTTTTTTGTGGCCTAAGCCTGACGTAATGGGTTGAGTGACTAGGCCATTCACTCAGCTGGCTTTTGTGGTTAAAGCAGGAGTAGAACTGGTTTCTAATGTGGTGGTTTAATCGCTAGACCAAAGTGATTGAATTGAAACATATGGCTTCTCAGGGTGGAGAAGGGAGGATGAATTTTTAATATAACACTTCAACAAAAGATAACCATATTTCATTATAATTGTTCATACATAATCTATGTCTATAGGCAGCTTGTTTGTAGGATGCAAGTAATGCATATATGATATGGAACCTACTGGGTAATTGGAGCCATAAATTTATCTTTTTTCTATGTTGAAAATTAATCTCTTGGCAATAATGAAGTCAAAAAAATCTATTACCATTGACTAGCAGTCAACCTTTATGTTGTGGTTATATAATTCAATAGATTATGTGCATCTGAAAATATTACTTTGATTTGTTTCAAAGTCAAATTAATATATCTAATTATATTTCTTTCCATAAAATAGTAACTTTAGAACACTGCAAAAATTTATGATTTAACAATCATAAATGTTACTTTAGTTGCATGTCCAATAATACAATTATTAATTCTTCTGTAGAAATGCCATGAGTTTAATAAATTGGATTTTTTTTGTTGTATAATGTGTAATCTAACAAGGGGCTTAACATTAAAGTTTAAACATTTTTGTTTTTTAAGCCAAAATGAGGGTCTCACATTTCCTATCAATTAACTGATTAAATTGATATATGAATAATTAGTATTTATAAAGATTGATTGTTGACTTTTTGGGTTTAGAATCCCATGTAATATCTCAGCTAACTTTGAGATGAAAATGTTGCTGGTCCAAATCAAGATGTAAATAAACAACTGTAAATGCATTTTGGTAGCAACTGACAAATATTATTTATCTTTTAACAAAGAAAATGACAGAAGTTCATCATTATCATGCACTAGTTTTATTAATATAAAAGATCCCAACATTCATTCAGATATACAGTCAATTTTTACTCCATTTTGAGATCTGGGTTATATCATAGTGTCAATTTGACATTAAAATAGGTATATTTTCCAAAATATACTCTGCCACAGTTTTCAAATCAATTTGATAGTAACAATATATACTGTATATGCCAGTTGCATCTTTTTCAACAATATCTTTGAATTTGAAGAATCCTAAAACCAATATATAGTATATTGAGTAAACAAAAATACTTGTGGATATGTATGTACAAATTTCACACAATACATGGAGTACCCTGAAATGTGATCGTCTGTGTCCTGAGCACCCAAGTTTTTCTCAAGCTGGGCATCTAGATCATTTTCCTGCTAGACAATATGGGGCAGGCATATTTTACCTGCAAAGATGACCCTAAAGGCAATAAAACAGGTTATTGCATTTTGTAACACCTGCTGTTTCTGAGTCATTTTCAAGGACAGCTTCATGCAAAATAAAGACACACATAAAAGAGAGATGAAGTTAGTCACTGTCTTCAGTGCCTCCTGATTTGGGAAAGGGTTAAGTATAACTGGCAGACCAGCAAAAATAGCCAAAGGTGCAACTGGACACATCTTCCACCTGTTGTTTCAAAAGAAGCCATGGTTTAATAAGACTGCATAATAGCTCCTTCAGGGAAAGTGCTACTCATCAAGTGTTTTAGATGGAACTTTCATGGTATTATAAGACTTTTGAACTAATAGTAATCTCAGCTTGCTGTGAATCCTTCATAATCTCCTTTTGCCCCCTTTTATCCCTACAGCCTCTAGGCAGCATTTAAGCTTGCCACCACATCTCCTACTTGCCTTAGGCCAAGATGTAAAATAATATCCCCAGCATATTGGTGATGTCTAGTATCCAATCAATGGATTATTATCCACCATGGTTTCATTTAAAAAGGGGGGAAGCTGAGTACTGATGTGTACAAAACAAGTATTTCACTGCTTTTACTACCATAGTATAGATAACAGATAACATATAACAGATAATCAGAGTTGGAAGGGACCTTGTAGGGCATCTAGTCCAACACCCCACCCAAGCAGGAGACCCTACACCATTTCTGACAAATGGCAGTCCAATCTCTTCTTGAAAGTCTCAAGTGATGGCGCTCCCACAATTTCCGAGGACAAGCTGTATAGGTCCAAACATAGGATTGTACTCAATACTGGGCAATGTCATTAATCTTGGGGCAGTTATAAATATCAAAATTTAAAATACATACTTATATCTAGGTAGATAGTCTTTAGAAGAAATGATTTATACATTTGTAATGATATTGAATTATTAAATGATATAATACACATAGTCCTTGAAATATTATAAATAATGATGATAAATCTAATCCAATTAAGCTTTATAAGAAGTACAATATAAAATGTAAAATAGTTAATAAAACAATATTATAATCAGAAAAGATCATTTATCTATTGGACAATTCGTTATGATGGAAGCAGGGGTAGGATTCAACCGGTGTTATTACTGGTTCAGTGACAGTGCATTTTGCATGCACTGTGCGCGCGTGTACAGCATTCGGAAAAAAAATCAGCTGTGCTGTCCGGACAGCTGACAAGTGCTGCACGCGGGTGTGCAGCATTTGAAAATCCTCTTCTTTCCTGCTTTTTCAACCTCAGCTGTGCCACGCAAAGCAGCTGACATTGAAAAAGCAGGAAATAAAGGATAGCCAAGAGCCTGGGCAGGCGGGTGGGCCAAATAGACGACCAAAAGGTCATCACACCGAACCAGTTTGGTGTCTGCTGCTTTTCAGAGCTACCAGTTCTACAGAACTGGACCGAACCGGTAGCATCCCATCCCTGGATGGAAGTAGAAAGACCTACCGGTAATATATATTCATTTTCTGATACTATCAGAATGGAATATTTTTTTTACAAGATTAAATAAGAAAAATAAAATTTATGTGTTGCATAACTAGGAGCTGTCAGTCCTTTAGTCCTTTAATTTATTAATTTATTCACTGGTAATTTCATAACCTTTTTGGAGCAGCAAGTATTAGCAACAAGTACTTAAAATAAAAGAGTATTATAATCTATATTTGATACTTTATAGGATGGATTTAAATTACAAATAAAATATTTTATCCAAACTAAATTACCAAAAAAGGCTATTACAATTTATTATCTACTTCTAATTTCAATATTTTTTAATTTATTTCAAATAGGGCAGAAACAACTTGGGCTCCATTTATGTGTGGGCATCTGGAAATGGTGGAAGAAGTAAGGATCATTGCTCGTGTGATGGCTACACCAATAGCATCTATACCATCTCCATTAGTAGCACAGCTGAAAGTGGAAGAAAACCTTGGTATCTAGAAGAATGTGCATCAACATTAGCTACAACCTACAGCAGCGGAGAATCCTATGACAGGAAAATAGTATGTGGTCTTTTCACCATGATTGAAGTTTAATTGAAAATAAAATTGACAACTTCTTTTTGTAAATACATTCTAGGTTTTATTTATCCTAAAGTTACTTGACATTTTTTTATATTTTAAAGGATTTGCTCCTAAAAAAAACCCTCTTTTTCACCCTCAACCAAAAACTGATTTGCACAAGAAACAAACATACAGAAAATCTTCCAACTGAAGGGAGGGGAAAACATATCTGTTCTCTCTCAATCCTAGTTTTCCATCATGAATACAAATTTGTTTAATGTTTTCTCCTTTTCAGTCTCTTGCTGCTAATAAGGAGTTAAGATCGGCTATTTTTCAAAATATATCGTTTCTTCTAATAATCTGGGATATTAGCCATCTCTCCTGGAAACCTTGCTGTTTTCAGATGATTAATTTTAAAGACAAATTCTGAGGTAACTCTTCATTCCAGTAATTACTCTGTTATCATCTGCTTTCTTCTACTTATTTTTCTTTTTATAAATTTTATATATATCTGGGTTTTTTTCTGTAATCTCCTCAAAAATGGTAAAATAAGAAAGAAGTCATTCATTTTTCTAGCACAAAATATTCCCATGATAAAATGTACCATATTGAATTCAAGAACATCTTGATAATATTGGTGTTATGATAAAATATTTGATCATCAACTTTTGTACAAACCTTTAATTCCCATTCACTCAAAAACTTGATATAGTATAACACACACCAGTTCAAATATTTCTAGATAAGATTTTCTTAAACATTCCATACTGAAGCCATAAATAATTCAGCTTAGGATCATTTTTTGTTTTAAATCAATTAAATAAAATAAAACTAAAAACTCCAAGCACTTAAAATATAATTAATTATTTCTAAAAAAATGCAAGGATTCCAAAGGCAACTTTGCATGAACTTTAGTCACAGATTACAGCACACTACATGCAAAATGTATAAAAATTAATTTTGGCTTCTAATACTAATACAAGAGAATAGTTGCAGTTCAGGGTTGAAATAAGGCACGCTTGGTGCTCTCAGAACTTGTTTTTTTGCAGATGTTTCATTACCCAAACTAGGTAATGTCATCAGTGCTAATCTAGTGTACTAGACTAGCTTTGTCTTCTAGTGTTCAAGAAGAGGATAACATCCTATCAAACTTTATTCACATTTCTCTGATATAAGAACAATAGCAAAAACACAATTATGCGCGATTTCTCTTGATCTCAAGTACTGCAGTTAGACTATTGGACTGAGTAGCACCATGCATTTAAACCCGTCCAATCACCCCATGCTCTCTATTTGATAAATGAATTCAAAGCCATGCAAGCTGGCGCAGTTTTATTTTAAAGGTTTCTTGAAATCTTGGCAGTCTTAAATTGCTACTTAGTGATGGAGTGGAAATAACACCAGATATACAGTAATCCTAATTTTGTGTAATCTGGCAGTTGTAAATTACAACTGTCTATTATAAATCTATATACATTTGCAGGCAGCCACCTAAATGTCTCAAAGAAATGGCATCTTCCAAAGTTCCCTTTTCAATTGAGAGACTCAGATTCCTGCAAGAAAGCCTATTAGTTATGAGAAGAATGTGGCTCTAACAGGCAATAACAGAATTCAAACTCCTGTATAATCTCTCCAGATTATTTATATAGAATTTGAGATCATATCATTTGGAATGTAATTTGATGAGCCTACCCAAATTTCTTGATCTTTGAATGTTTTTACTCATATGCCACTCCACTCTGCTTCATCCAATCTGAATAGCAGTAACAGCAGAGATTTAATAGGTTTCTGTTGATGAGCTGGGTAGACTGAAAAAGATTTGGAGAGGATAAAAAGGTAATTTGGTCACAATCTACAAAACTTCAGCACTTGGGATAGCCCCGTCCCCGTCCCCCCCCCCCCAAAAAGTGACAGTCATTGCTCAAAAGGTCATATTTATTTTGAGATTTCAAGAAAATTTTCATGTTTCATTTTATACCTAGAACACAAGGAGTTGCCACTTCAAGTTGAAAAAAATGGCAGAATAGTTTGCACGTGCCTAATTTTGAGGCTGCCTGATTCCAGAATCCCTAATTATAAGTCCATTTGACTCAAGGTGGCTAGGAAATGAACCAAGTATAAAAACTATCTGAATGATTAATCTGGAAAAGCTATAAAACAACTTTACATATAAATAATTCCAAAGTTTCCATGCAAGGACTGGGGAAAATCTTCAAGGCTCTTGAAGGAAAGCAGAGTAGAGGACATTCAAATATGAGGGGAGAGAGCAGGTATTGAGTCAAACAAGGCTCTTTATATTTAATCAACTTTGATTTAAGAAGAAAAATCAGTTCAGCCAGTTTACATTAAAATCTTTTTACATGGCTCAAGTAAAATTTCCATTCAGAGCATTTTTGTTACCCATTTTTGAGTGAAATGTCTCTTTAAATAATTGAAATAAGACTGGTGATGGGATTAATATGTGAATAATAACTATGGCTGTAATCCAACATAAATCTAATTATTTTATTATGCTCACTAATCTATTAATAATGTTGTAATGAAGCCTTGAGCTAAAAGAAACAATCTAACAAGAAATATAATTTGACTCCAGAGGTCATATAAATAAAATCTGTTGAATCACTAAAACTTTCTTGGCCTTCCTGCTTCTTCAATCCTCTATAGTCCAAACCACCTCTCCTGAGGATGTGGCAACTTAAAAAAGCTTGAATATAATACTTGAACCTTAGTAGGAAAGGGAATTATAAATAATTATGCAATTGACATATTTTTCTGTTTTCTTCAAAACTAATCCTGGATTTTACTGTTCTCATTAATCTGTATAATATAAATGTGAATACCTCAAGCCGGTACATATATTGTGGCCTATATTTATTTATTATTTATAAATAATATGATGTATGCCATCAGTTCCATATTTTCCAGGAAGCTTACAGTCACAGCATTTATTAAGAAAATAAATAAAGCTAACAAAACCATAACCAACATTAGACAGGGGAAATAATTGAACAGCCTCTAGTATTGTTGTTAACCCATTATGAAGCCCTCTTCTTCAAAGTCTCTGTGGAAAAGCACAATTTTAACTGACCTCAATGAGAATGCTCTTTGAAAGTAATAGTGCAATAAACACCATCACTTTACTATATTGGCTTCTTCTGTCAGACAACTACATTCTATGCCAGCTGTAGTTTCTGGATCATCTTCAGTGACAGCCACTTCATAAGGAGAAGCACAATAATCGTTTGCTTAATTCAGAGGAGTTATACGCCTGGGATATATTTTTTGTTTCTGCAAGATTTTCATTCAAGATTTCTTTGGGTGGAGCTTAAGTGATATAATAGATTGATGTGACGTTTGTTTGGTGGGTGCCTTGATTTCTATCATAATAGTTTATTTACTTTGTTAGCTGAAATAATGGGACTATTCTCAAACAAAATGTTGATAACTGAAAAGCAAGATGTTGCTTCTAGTTTCCATTTTCCATTTTTATATTTCTAAGTGGCTCTAAGTCTGCTTTGTATAAATTAAATGACTGAAAAGTACTTGACATTATTTTGTATTTATTTTTTAAAAAATGCAATCAATCAATGATATAAATGTAATATAAACGTATTAGTTGGTTTCTTTTTGATTTATTTTAAAATTAACACTTATCACAGCCTACCCAGATGCACACTTTATGCTAATTTAAGGAATTTATTGTTAATTGATTTTTCATGTATGCTACCAAATGTTCCCACTGAAGCCAGTTTAATGAAGATCAGAAATAGCCAGTGGATCTTTCTTATATCCCTCATGGTCAATCTGCTATATGAAATCAATTTCAGGCATTATAAAATTCTGAATCTGGGCAGTGGACCTATAGACCTTAAGCATTTAATTCTATACAGTATTTATTTTCTTATATATTATTTTATTGAATTTCAATAAACCACAAATACAGCATAGTAACAAGAAAAGAGAGAAAGATATGAAAAAAAGATGTAGAAAAAGAGTAACTTCCAACTTTCTTCAATACTGATACAAATATATAGTAAAGTAACTTCCGACTGTATATTTAAACAAAAATAAGGGCATAATATGTAAATTGTATGTAGTAAATAAAATCAAAGCAATACATAATATTTCTATAATCGGAACACATCTAATCATCAAATCCCTAAATCAGTTTCATTTCTATTATTTTTTAGCAAGAAGTTCAAAAATAGTATCCAAATTGAAACAAACCTAGACAATGTTTTTTCATCAGTGGTCAGTTTTGCCATCTCAGCCAGCTCTATTAATTTGCCAATTTATTCTAGGATTTTGTATATCTTTCCATTCCATGTAGATAGAAGTCTTGTGATGTTATATATAAAAACAAAGGCCTGTGTTTCCTTTTGGTCTGGTATCCATCATACATAAAAGAGAAACCACCAGTTTTAATTGCATTTTTATATGTTTGAGTCAAACAGATATTTTGTTCCAATATTTCTTGATATTTGGCAAATCCACGAGAGCTGATAAAAGGTAGAGGTTGCATTTCCAACACTTACTTGACATTCCTCTTGCATCTTTGACAGTTTATCAGGCTTCAAATATCAACAATACATAATTTTAAAGAAATTTCCTTTCACATGGTTTACATTGTTTCCCAAACTTTTTTCCCTCAGGAACCCTTTCCAATTTTGAAAATAGCAGACAGTCCCAAAAATATAGATTATTGTTGTTAACATTTATATTAATACTGACACATTCACTGCCATTACTGCTTACCACAGTTGTTTGATGGGATTTTAATAATGTATTATTTTTTAGCATAGGCTGGCAAATAAGTTTGACTTTGCAGACCCCTGAAAGGGTTTTGTGGATGCCCAGAGATCCTAGGACCAAACTTTAAGAAACATGATGTAGACAAATTGACAAAGTTTTAACATGTACTATTTAATGCCAAGTCACTGAGACGTTTAAAGAAGTGATACTGTTATTGATATTTGCTTTACAACTTGTGTAAGACCTGAATACAAAATTATCAAGTTTGGCACATAATAAATACTTTATATTCAACAATTGTTAGTAAAGCAAGAATTTGCTTTTTGCATCATTTCCCATCCATCCATCCCTATCTTCTACCCAGAATACTGTTACTGGTTTCAAAATTATAGCACAAACGAAGCTAAGTGCCTATGCATGTCACCTTTTTGGCTTTCTGTTAACTTTTTTACTGGCAGTGGCTTTTATTGTTTCAATTTATATTCCACAAATTTATATTCCATGTTTTAGCAGCTTTGTAGATTCTGTCCTGAGGCTATACTTACAAACAGTAATTTTTCTTTTCTCTTATGTTGATCTCTGATGTACTTTTCTATGAATAAGGTACATTCAGTTCTAATGTATGCAGCATATGCTTCTTTTATTAATTATGGTCTGATAATTGTAATTTAATATTTATTTTCTAAGTGGTATAACTACATAATACTAATTTGGATAAGTTTACAAAGTTTGGATATGTTTACAAAAGTATATGTTTGGATACAATTACAAAATTTTACATTTTCAGGTTATATTTTTATTTAAACTGAATGGAAGATGGCTTATATAAAATTTCAAACTTTCACAACTAATTTCCTACTAATATTTAATTTCCAAGGCTGTGCATGCTTAATCAGGGAGAAAACATTTAATTGTACTTATTTCTGAAAAATTGTATATGTTAATACTTTCTATTAGGTAGCTGTAGCAGTACTTATGTTGAAGATAAAACAATTAAATATGTACTAAAAATACTATTTTAAAATGGGATGCTTTTATGGCTTTAAAAAGTCTTTCTTTGTTATAATGAAACATACCTTTTAATAGAATATATAGGGAAAATTTAGGAGAATAAATAATGAGGAATAATCAGAGTAAATATATTTAATATAAAGCTTTCCTTTTTTCTGGCCTGAACCAAGTATTTATTCTTGCCCCATCCACTTTCAGAATGGGGATATCCTTGATACGGTCCCATTCCCTCAGCAATTATTTATATGGAGCACAGGATTTTGTTGAAACTCAAGTTTCAGATATCCAGAACCCTCATCATGTTAATACTCGAACACTTCAAAGATGACTTCATTATACATGTAATTTGGATTCTTCTAGACTTACAGCATAAATATCCTCAGGGCAGAAACTGTGTGAGCTCCTACATGAGGAAGGACCCTGATTATGTCAATTCAAGTAGAAGCCAATGCATGTACAACTGTACATTTGTACTCAGTTGTGAGCATCTGGAGGAGCTGCTGTCACACAAGCAGCCTCAGTTGAGGCAGAAATGTATTCAGAGTGTCTGCTTCTGTTATTCAAAGGGATAAAAAAGGGCTGCTACTCTTGCCACTGAAGGAATAAAATTTGTATTAGATTGGAATTTAATTTTGCTTGCAGCGCTACCATAAAATGCTCAAGTGTCAAATCATCTAACAAAGTGTCTCATGAAGGTAATATGTGACTATTCCCAGACATTTCATTACTACAGTATTCCGGGAGGCAAATGATTTTTGGATATCCATATGCTTTAGAGAGCTAAAAACCAACATTAAAAAAAGTTATCCCATTGAATAACAAAGTTTCAAATGTGTATGTTATTTCAACAAAAGAATCCTTTTGTTGTCTGCAGCAACCTTATTCTTATCATACATTTTTCCCCCCTCCAGATCACTACAGACCTCAGACAGCGTTGTACAGACAGTCATACGGGGACATCAGCTTCTGCACCTATGGCTGCAGGAATCATTGCACTGGCCCTGGAAGCCAAGTAAGTACCTTTGTTTTTGTTTTTGAATGAAAAGTCATTAAGACATAAGATTCTATGCATTTTTCCCCTTTTTGTTATAAAATGCTTGTGCACCGATCCATATTCATGTATTAGGAATATCTGAGGGACTGCCTTTTTCTAAGAGTCTCTTCCATCCAATTCAATCCAGCAGATTGAATATCATGTGGATCAACCATAGCGTGTTGGCTGGCAGAGGTTAGAAGATGGGCCTTTTTTACAGTGGCCCCTGCTCTCTGGAATATCCTATTCTGGGAGATTAGAATGCTCCCAACTCTGTTAGCTTTTCATAAGGTTTTAGAAACTTAGCTATGTTTCTGAGCCTGGGGCACTAAATATATTAATGGCCCATTTATTAATTTTACAGTTAATTGGCTAACAACTGATACATATATTTGGAGGTTTCTATTGGTTTTAACTATTTTTATTGGGTTGTTGTTGTTGTTTTTTGGAATTGTAAGGACCTAGACTAAAGTCATTGATTGAGATGGGTGGCTATAGAAATTGAATGAGTGAATGAATAAAGAAATTTAACTTAGATATAGTTACATTGCAGTGGCATTTCCCTCTTTTAAAATGTATTTAGAGATTAATCCTAAATCAGCATTCCAGTTTTGTGTGGTGCATCATAAATAATGCTCAGTATAGCTCTACCACGGGAAATGAACACAAGATCAAATTCCACATATAACCAAATGGTTTTAAGGATAAAACAATCGTTATAACAGTTAACAATCAGATGTTACGTTAAAGCCATGGGGACCCCTGTTCTAAACTACAAACATTTTGTACTGAATTGCTTGAACTACAGTAATCCAAAAAGAAAAGAAAGAAAATGACTTGTTGCCAGGACTCTTTTGCTAAAAAAATATGTAAACAAATAGTTGTACAGTGATTATCAAAAATCTACATTGTTTTTCTTAAAATAGAAGTTATATCCAATCCTGGTAAATGATGTCCATGAGGTCATGAAGAGTTGAAAGTAACTGAATGACAAAAACAACTAATATGTTTAGGGCTACAGTTATTGACGACTGAGAAACAGCTGTTTGGGCAATGGATCTTCTTCTCCTCTCTCCTGTAGACCTGGCATTTCTCCCATAACAAAGTTCCTCTGGTTCTCCAGAAGAGACTTGGAAGCCTACAAAAATTAGGGGAAATATTTCACCAGCAATATTTTAATTCAATAAAAGTGATATTACTGGTTTGTTGAAAATGTATGGTCATATCACATGTGTAACCTGAAGGTAACCATGTTTAGTGAAGAGTATCATCTTATTTTCTAATAATCCTACTTGTTGGACAGTGAAATTGCAAATAATTTTACACATACACACACAAACATTTATCCATCCATCCACCCACCCATCGGCTTGGTACTTCAGAATGTTATCTTCTGTGCTTGTTTTCCTTTTGGGAGGGGGTTAAATCTTCAATTGCTGACCAAACATTTCTATTTAATAATAATAGTTTGGGGATACATGAGAGAGTCAGAGGCATTCTTGCAGTTAGGAGAATTGATGCAGGTATCTGCTATTGGTTTTGCTATTAGTATATTATTTTTCCATTCATTTGTTTTTTCTTTTTAATGAAAAGAATCTGAAAAAAAATAGGTTGGGTGAAAAAAGAGCTTAATACCAAGGAAGGTATTAACAAAGACATTGGAGCTGACAATCAGATTGGAAAATAAAGATGCCCCATCTGTTTCCTGAAGAGGGTCACAAAGGACTCCAGACTTTTATGTGCATTTGTTCTACTTCATTCATGGGATTTTACTGGGAAAGCAGTTCTATATAAATATCTTCAGTATGTTACCATCCAAATATAACCAACTTAGTTTGTTTAGTCAATTAGAAAGCCCTTTTTTCTAGAATTACTATGGCAAACTAGATATTCCCAAAGAATCAGAATAAGATTGTGAAGGACATCAGTGGCCAGCTGGTGAATTCTGGTCAGCAAAGTTTCTCTGGAAAAAAAAGAGAGATCTTGAAATCACTCACCTGTACTCCAGACAACTGCTCCTCATGAGTAGACTGCAGGAACTGAAATTTTCTGCAGTTTATGAATTAAGCAGTTAGAAGCCAAGGGGTTTTAACAAGCCCACAATCTTAATGTATGGGTATAAAGTTAATAAGAGCCTCATTTTTAATCATTTTTGATTTAATTAATTTACAGCCAAAGAGGTTTTCTGAATGGCAGGATAGGATTCCATTTGGTAAGTTATTATTTCTTCTGGTTTGCAAAGGAATAAAGACACCACCACCCCCAAAAAAAAGATTTTAAAGACTTAAAAACTTTTAACAGAAAACAAGTCAGTGAAAAACCTTTAAAATGGATTAATGGAATAGTTATTATGAACAAACTGGAAATAAGAGAATTAAGGAATTAAGAAAAACAAAGTGGATTTTTGTGGAAAAGTTCTTTGTTTATTATTTAAGAATATTACAATTGGTGTATTTTAAAACAAAAGATAAATATGAGCCAGACTGTGATGCTAATTGAAACTATAGAGTGCTATTAGAGACAAATTTATTAAAGAAACAGGAAGATAAAATAGGAAAAAAGGAACATTTACATTGACTGAGACACTTTTAATTTTGAATTATAATACCATAATAGCAACTGCCAGAAACATGCAAGAATGAAGGAGAGAAGAAAAATTCTTTAATCAACCTGCAGAGAAAGGAATCACATAAGATTTGCTTCAAAAATTATTTCTGTATATGGATAATAAATTGGAATCACTTGATACTAAATTAACAGCTTTTGAAAAAGAATGAAAGATTATAAAGATAAAAGAGGAGATGAAAGAAGTTAAGAAGATGGAAAGCTCTGCAAAACAGATGTGAACATTGCAAGACTGAGTTTAAAATAGAATTGTGGACAAATGATGAGCATGTAAATTGCTAAAAATATGTAAAGTTATTGAAATTTGAAACAGAAGAGTGAAAGTGGACTAAAACTATAATTATAATGTATAGATGGAACAATGGGAAATATGCAGCTGAAAGGACTGAAATGTACATTATGTTATAATCTTAAAAAGAATTTTTTATAAAAATTATGTATCAATAGTGTGCATCACCAGAGAAATTGTCCAGAAGTTACAAAGTTCTTTAAATTTATGTTGAAATAGTCAGCTACAAAAAAGGATATTTTATTATGTTTGATGGACATGTTAAAAAAACTAGAAAATTTTGTATTCTATTACATAAAAGAATTCAAAGAATTTTAAATATTAATGTGCAATTGAAACCGGAGACTTTTCTTTGGGGTTGAAGAGTTGGGAAAAAAACTTCAAACAGATGGCATTTTGTTTTCCTACATGATGACTACTGAGAGAATGCCCAAATTGTATGTATAAAGATAGAAAACTTTGGCACTACCCATAATCAAGGAATGGTTGGTTAAGATGATAGAAAAGACAATAGCTAGATATATTGATTACTGGAAACCCGTTATGGACTTTTTTTTTGAAACAAAAAAAATGAACATATGATAATTAGACAGAACAGATTATAGAAATAAAGGAGTTATATTGTAACTATAGACTAAGAGGTACATTTATAGTTGTACTTATAATTGCTGTAAAGAACATTAGAAGTTAGAAGTTACTACTATTTTCCTTCTTTTCTATATGTCTTTTACTCTTTTCCTTAGTTGCACTTTTAGCTTTTTCTTTGATTCCTCCTCCTCCTCCTCCTCTTCTTCTTCTCCTCCTCCTCTTCCTCTCATTTTATACTAGTTTGTATTAGTTTCTATCTTCTTTAATACAATTATATAAACAAGCTATTTTTTTGATGAAATATAACTACAGCATTGTAAATGCAAACATAATTGAGTTAAAATTAAATCATGCCAAATAAGTACCGTAGTAAATATGATATGATAAGCAACTGGAGTTTTGCCATTAATTCTGGTAGAAAAGTGCATTTACTAATGATAATTATACACTAATTAGTCATTCTATTTTTTCTAATACTTATATGTTTTCTTTTTCCATTTCCAACTTACTTTTGGAGAATGAGAAAAACGATGATTCCTATGTGGAAGAATAAACCTTATGTTTTATTAGGTTCATATTCAGGGTGGCTAGCCCCTTTCATTCTAAATTATATTCTAATTTATCTGACCAGCATAGTCCAAATATAGCAAGGTAGTCCTTTGTGGGTTCTTATAAGCAAGTTGTTTTGTTTTTGAAATGTAGTCAATTTTCTACTTAGCATTTAATACAGCCTCAAATAAATTTTTCGGCCTTGAAAAGATTTAGCAAAAGGGTAATAATTATCGTTTGGGAGATTCAAGTTGTCAATTAAAATTAATGAGTGCTTACTTGGTGACTCACCCAGACAAAAAAAAGCAATTTTGATAGGTTTTTCATACTCTACTTTAAACAAACCAAACTGAAGTCAAATACAAGTGTTAATCACTACATGGATGTCACCAGACAGCTTTTTCAAAAATAGTATAGAAGTAATTTGCCATTGCCTTCCACGATGGTTTTTCAGCTTCCCAGTTTGGAGGTTTTGCATCCAAATACTAAGTCTGGCTTTGCTTTACTTTTTCAGAGTCAGTCAAGATTAGTTAGGTACTTCAACTAGGTGATATTAAAGCAAGTGAAGGTATGTCAGAACAGTTAGGAGATAAGAGAGATTGTACATTATATCAAAGCCCTGAGAAAGATGCGGGCCTTGACTCTGTATGGTATGATTCTGTATGGTACAATTCTGTATAGCTGAAATTCCAACAGACTTTTAAGATCCTGTTATTATATTCCCAAAAATAGAGTTTAAAATACCTGTTCCTTACCCTGAAGAGCTGACATCCTTTTACCATATATCAGGTTGCTGCAAAAGAGGTGATTAATATTGCAAAGTATATTTTTCTGTTATGTAAGAATAATTGTATGTTCATTTGTTTGTTTATCTGAATTTATAAGCCACCCAATTCTAACAGGGAGGAATTAAAAAAAACATTTGAGA